CAAATCAAACATTGAACAAATACGATACATTGTAAATTTAAGAATGTTAATTCAATCATGTTTAAGTTGCAATTTTCAATTTGAGAATTAATTGTTTTAATACCAAATAGGGGTATTTTGATACGTTTTTCAGTTTTCAATTCTTTATTCGAGTGATTTGTAATTTTCTATTTGAGAATTAATTTTTTTAATACCAAATAGGAGTATTTTGATACGTTCCTCAGTTTTCAATTCTTTATTCGAGTGATTTGTAATTTTTAATTTGAGAATTAATTGTTTTAATACCAAATAGGGGTATTTTGATACGTTCTTCAGTTTTCAATTCTTTATTCGAGCGAATTAATTCTAAATATGCTAATGTATACTTTGATCCCTTCATATTGCATATTACAAATCAAACATTGAACAAATACGATACATTGTAAATTTAAGAATGTTAATTCGATCATGTTTAAGTTGCAATTTTCAATTTGAGAATTAATTGTTTTAATACCAAATAGGGATATTTTGATACGTTCTTCAGTTTTCAATTCTTTATTCGAGTGATTTGTAATTTTCTATTTGAGATTTAACTGTTTTAATACCAAATAGGGGTATTTTGATTCGTTCTTCAGTTTTCAATTCTTTATTCGAGTGATTTGTAATTTTCTATTTGAGATTAAACTGTTTTAATACCAAATACGGGTGTTTTGATTCGTTCTTCAGTTTTCAATTCTTTATTCGAGTGATCTGTAATTTTCAATTTGAGAATTAATTGTTTTAATACCAAATAGGAGTATTTTGATACGTTCTTCAGTTTTCAATTCTTTATTCGAGCGAATTAATTCTAAATATGCTAATGTATACTTTGATCCCTTCATATTGCATATTACAAATCAAACATTGAACAAATACGATACATTGTAAATTTAAGAATGTTAATTCGATCATGTTTAAGTTGCAATTTTCAATTTGAGAATTAATTGTTTTAATACCAAATAGGGGTATTTTGATACGTTCTTCAGTTTTCAATTCTTTATTCGAGTGATTTGTAATTTTCTATTTGAGATTTAACTGTTTTAATACCAAATACGGGTATTTTGATTCGTTCTTCAGTTTTCAATTCTTTATTCGAGTGATCTGTAATTTTCAATTTGAGAATTAATTGTTTTAATACCAAAGAGGTGTATTTTGATACGTTCTTCAGTTTTCAATTCTTTATTCGAGCGAATTAATTCTAAATATGCTAATGTATACTTTGATCCCTTCATATTGCATATTACAAATCAAACATTGAACAAATACGATACATTGTAAATTTAAGAATGTTAATTCGATCATGTTTAAGTTGCAATTTTCAATTTGAGAATTAATTGTTTTAATACCAAATAGGGGTATTTTGATACGTTCCTCAGTTTTCAATTCTTTATTCGAGTGATTTGTAATTTTTAATTTGAGAATTAATTGTTTTAATACCAAATAGGGGTATTTTGATACGTTTTTCAGTTTTCAATTCTTTATTCGAGTGATTTATAATTTTCAATTTGAGAATTAATTGTTTTAATACCAAATAGGTGTATTTTGATACGTTCTTCAGTTTTCAATTCTTTATTCGAGTGAATCAACTCCAAATATGCTGATGTATACTTTGGTCACTTGATATTGTATATTACAAATCAAACATTGAACAAATACGATACATTGTAAATTTAAGAATGTTAATTCGATCATGTTTAAATTGTAATTTTGTCTGGCCCTATTTCTTTGATCGATACATCATAGAGTTATTTTATCAATTTTGTATCGTATTTGCAGTTTAAATCCACAACGTGGATATTTTCAAAAATATTTTAGGGCATTTCAACGTGTTTTGTTTTTTTAAAAATAATGTTTGACCATTCTCCAGTGCAGAAACAAAGGAAATCTAATTGAAATTAACGAGGCTAGTTAGTATACTGTAACACGATACTCATTGTCAGAGATAGTGTATCAACTTGTCACCACGCGACAACAAGAAAGTAATTCTAAAAAGAAAACAAAACCATAGGAATAGTTAAGAAAACTGTGGAGCGCAGAAATTTTCTCTCATTTTTAAAACAGGGTGCTTTCAAAAAAATATCAATAAACAGATTATATACATACATAAATATTTCTATTCTTTTTCGAAAATCATTTGATATCATTTGATTAATTTTAATTCTACATTTCACCATAAACTGAAGTTTCAAAACCAGTATTTTTTATTAATTTAGTAAGAGCCATATATCAAGCTGAAAATTTAAAAAAAAAAAAAATATATTACTTATATTTATCTAATTTAAATTTAAGGACGAACAGAAGCCCTTTAGAGCAATCATATAATTTTGAGCAAAAATAATCACCAGGAGATTAATATTAAATTTACTAGAAAATTTCTGACCTTTTACCATATAATTACAATATCATATAATTAGGTCCACAAAAAAAGTCTTTTACGTAACATAGTATTATTGACAACATCAACAAAACTTACATAGCGAATTAAATATTAACGAATATTATAAAAATAGACCTAATAAGATTTCAAAGTTATTTTTGATCGATAGTTGGTTAATTTAGTTTTCATGGGGAATGTCGAGGCAGGAAACACGGGACAATTCGTGGTAATTTCTCTCGCGTAAGTTCCACTTCCCTTTTATAGCATTTTTAAACAACTTGTTGGAGCTACGAGCGCGGCAAGATTCGAAGAAGAGTAGCATGACCGAAACTTCTAACCACGGGCGCCGCGTAATTGGATGAAGAATTAGTCCCGCGCGGGTTAAGTGCACCAAAACACTGGCTCTCAGAGAAAACTTTCACAGGGAAGCGTATTTTCCGCTGCAACAACAATTTTTTTCGTTTAAGATGTGTCCCTTTCTGACTAGCGCCTGGTAAATTAGAGAAACGTCGAAAGCAAACAATATTTTTAAAGCTTCTCTTAAAAAGCACCGTGCAAACTCTTCGTCAATTAACGTTTGACATAGTCTTTCGATCCTCGTGTTTTCTAAAGCAGAATTATAATTTCTGATATTTAGGGATATGGATAAAAGATACGAGAAAAATTGGTGACATTTTCTGTTGAATATAAAACAATATTTATGCACAACCAAATATAATACTCAATTCACTTATTCAAATCAAATGTAAAATTACATAGAATATATATTTGTAAAATAAGAGATCACAATATTTTGTATGTCAAATATTAATTTCTTTCCATTCGTTGCCTTTTTTAAATTATCTGTTTCAGTATTGTTTTTACTGACAATCGTTAGTGGTATAGTAACATAGAATTTTGGTATAGAAATTATTTCTGGAGCATACAGTAGTACATATAATTTCCTAAATTTAATTAACAACTTACCAAAAATTACTACGAATTTTACACGTTCATATATTTTCCTGTAACTTATATCTTTCTTTTTTAAATCACCCTAATTTTATTGCTTCGAAGATGACCACGAACAAAAAACTTGGTAGTTACACGTATTTACATGTATTTTTTTCCTTAATAGTAATCACCCAAATTTTATTTCGAAAATGACTATAGAGGAATAATAAATGGCTATTTACGACTGCATCGAATGTCGTTGACTATTTTTATTTATCGATTACTTCATTTTGCTCGTAATGTATTGGTTTTAGTTGTATCTATTTCCACGATGGATCGACTGGGAATGCGTTTTCCTTTTTTGGCGCGTTGCGTACAGATTACGAATATAGAAACAGCTGCGACTGATAAAGCGGTTTCTATCAATCACACGCGTTTTGACGCGATTAAATGTACGCGAGAAACGCAGCGTCGACTACCCGTGGTGTATTCATTTTGCAACACCTCGTGGAAGTTATCTCATTAAAATTACACAGCGTGCTACGGATTAATTACAGCGCCCGCGGTGGGATACGGTATCTACGTTTCCCACGAGCGTTGCGAATTCCATTGTACTTCGATAAACGCGCGAACGAAAAGAATGATAACGCCAAAGGACTCGTAAACTACGTGTAACTTTCGCCTGGACATATGTAGCATCGATTGAATTATTAATACGTGCAAACTTCGCAGACATTTTCAGACTAGAAATGATTAAGATTCAGATTTAATTAAAACAACGCTACTTCTGGAAACTTAAATTTAATTTATTGTATAGTTCCTTGGAATTAATGGCGTCACAAATAAAATATTATTAATTCTATTCCTACTTAAAAAATAAACTTCATGTAGATTTTAATGATTTAATAATATACAGGGTGTTCGGCCACTCCTGGGAAAAATTTTAATGGGAGATTCTAGAGGCCAAAATAAGACGAAAATCAAGAATATCAATTTCTTGACTGAGCCTTCGTTAAAAAGTTATTAACAATTAAATTCAAAAATTTCAAATCGTTCTGAAAAAATTATATTTAGTTACAGGGGTCAATTACAAGCATTTTCGGTGAATACACATACCCCCGAAATCTTACTCACTTTCGAGAAAAAAATTCAAGTAGCTACCGAAATTTTTAGACGAAATTAAAATATTTAAAATCATATTAAAGAAATTATATTTAGTTACAGGGGCCAATTACAATCATTTTTTGTCATTACACATACCCCCGAAATCCTACGCACTTTCGAGAAAAAAATTCCTTACCGAAAATCTAATTAGCTACCTTTTTTCGACGAGAAAAAAAATTTCAAATCGTTCTGGAAAAATTATTTGCGGTTGCAGGGGTCAATTACAATAATTTTTGGTGGATAGACATATTGTATAGTTCCTTGGAAGTAGTGGTGTCACAAATAAAATATTATTAATTCTATTCCTACTTAAAAAATAAATGTAGATTTTATTGATTTAATAATATACATAATTTTGAGAGAAAGTCCCACTAACGTGGCTGACTATTTAGCTAGGGGCAAAATTAAATAGATTAAAAATCATAATGTTTCGAATTCAGACTTAATTAAAACAACACTACTTCTGGAAACTGAAGTAATTAATTTTAGAAATGAATTTTTGTTACAGATTAGGATGAATCTGTTCTTACGTTGCCTGGACAGCGACATGCAGGTACGATGTGCCGCTTGGAGAACCGTCAGGATCATCCTGCTTTAATGGTAAATCACATTAATTTACATATTTAAATAATATTAATATAAAGAAGTATTCTGTAAAATCAATTTTTGATCATATTTTTTTACCTGTTATTTGTAAAACTGGAGTCATAGAAGTTTTCACCTTATCTCTATTTAAAAAAACATTAATATCAACAAAGTAAATGTCCATAAATTGAGTGTAAATTATTAAGATAATAACTGTATATTATTTTGTTCTATTTTATTAACACTGTAGAATTAATTTAATTCTTTTAGTTAGAATGGAAGTTGTATATGATCTTCTTCAGGTGTGTTCCAACCTTGATAATTATAAAGCAAATATAATCAAAATAAATTACATTAAAAAATAACAAAATTATAGAAAATCCCTTTGTATACATATATAACCTGATAATATAATATAGTGCCATCGAAGTATTGAATGTTGCTAAAAATAATATTAATAGATAATTGAGAAGCTGGTGATTGGAATTTCTCTATTTCCGTTTTTACATGCCAGACAACCTTCACGTATATAATATGGGTCATCGACGTAACGATTTATCGTACGATAAGTCGTACGTCGATTTGCAACGATAGGTACTGACATTCGGCACACCCACGTCGTATTTTTTATTGGCTAGAACGAAAAATTTTATAATAAATAGGGCTGGACACTTAAAAAAAAACTTTTGAAATTTGACAACGAATAAAAATTCACTTGCACAAATATCGAAATATTTTTCTGTACGAATGGTTTTACTGTGATCCGAAATAAATAATAGTCGAAAGGTGTCAAGTCTGAGAAATATGGTACGTTATTTAAATTCCTTAATTTTGATCAGTGCCAATAAATAGATATAATTAATGGTACCATTACCAAAAACTTTGCAAGTGCTTCTTACAATAGATTTTAACGCGAATATGCACTTTATCGAGATTTTTCGAACATTTTGCCAACCTTTAATTTTCCTTAATTTTGATCAGTGCCAATAAATAGATATAATTAATGGTACCATTACCAAAAACTTTGCAAGTGCTTCTTACAATAGATTTTAACGCGAATATGCACTTTATCGAGATTTTTCGAACATTTTGCCAACCTTTAATTTTCCTTAATTTTTATCAGTGCCAATAAATAGATATAATTAATGGTACAGTGAAAACTCGATAAATGTCGCTACTCCGGGTCCAGTCAGCAACACTTACGGAATAGGAGAATCGTCTTTCGAATTTGATTGTAGTTTGCCGACGCTTCGAACGTAGAAAGAGTCAGTAGCTAAAGAAGAAAGAGGGACTGAAACTCGGATTTATCGCCCCAGTTTAAATATCCGCGTCAGTGTGACCACACTACTGCACAGAAGAAAGTTTTTTATTTTTTACTTTTTGTTAATAAAAATTTCACTATCATGTTGGGGAGATTTCTCTGATTAAAATGAGGCTAAACACGATATAAATCGGTCAATATTTGGTAGCATAATATTGAATTAAATATTGTGCTTGCGAGTCTTTCTCTCTTTATTTATCCTTCTTGTGCTGTCCTTTTCTATGTTCGGAAATATCAAAGAACGACGCATCGAGATGCTGGCTACATTTATCGAACGGGAGGTAGCTATTTTCAAACGGAACGGTTCCACCGTTTCGTAAGTGATCAAAAACTGCAACACTTATGAAATAGGGGGTTTCGTTAACTACCACTGTTCGATAAATGTACCAATCCACTGACCTTGCGAAGATACGAGTACACAATATTTAATTCAATATTATGGTAACAAATATTGGCCGATTTATATCGTGTTTAGTCTCATTTTAATTAGAAAAATCTTCCCCACATGATAGTAAAATTTTTATTAAAAAAAAGTAAAAAATAAAAAACTTTCTTCTTGTACAGTAGTATGGTCACACTGACAGGGACATTTAAACTAAGTTGACGAAGGCAATAAAGATTTTTAAAGAAAGCCGCTACGTCTCCGGTTACACTTCGCCTCACTGGTTCAAGGGGGATCCCCCTAGTGGTGGGGATAAAAATGTATCATTAATGGAACAGCTCTTGAGGACATTTATCGAGTTTTCACTGTACCTTTACCAAAAACTTTGCAAATGTTTCTTGCAAAAGATTTTAACACGAATATGCATTTTATCGAGATTTTTCGAACATTTTGCCAACCTTTAATTTTCCTTAATTTTGATCAGTGCCAATAAATAGATATAATTAATGGTACCTTTACCAAAAACTTTGCAAGTGCTTCTTACAAAAGATTTTAACACGAATATGCACTTTATCGAGATTTTTCGAACATTTTGCCAACCTTTAAAATTATCAATTTCTGTCTAAGCCATAATTCATTCTAATATTGAGTGGTATCCACTACAGCCAGTGACAAGCTTAATGGATTCTGCAGAGAAGCTGGTAGTTTCCATCGAGAAACCTATTCTCAAAGACGATGTCCAAAAGCACATTAAGCTCGGCCCACTGTCGATCCATAGTGGAATTGGTTCATTCTTGCCCATAATATGATTAATTAGAGACGAGTCAAATAAATTCGTATATCTACAATCGAAGAGAAAGTAATTATCCTTGTCAAAAGAAATCCAAGACTTACCACGCGATAGATTGCATTGGAAATGTAACGTGTTTCCCATCAAAGTGTGAAAGGATTCGTCGAGAAAATCTTTTGTTCCCTTTTCATATAACGGGAATCCCAGTTCCATTTCCAGCGGATCGTCTTTCGTGAAACATGATTTATCGGTAGCATAATAATGTCTATTTTTCCTTCATAATTCTTCAAACTATCGAAACAAGCCTCTGTTTTTAATTTTTTAAAATTTCTTAATAATCTCTTTACAAGTCCATAAATTTAAATACACTCGAATCTCTTTTTACACGCATTTATTTAACACGTTTCAGTTTTCACGGTTTTTTAAACACGTTTTACCAGAATAAAACGTACACCTTTTTTTACACGGAACATTTTCTATTTCTTTTTACACGATTCTCATCCACCACGTAAAAAGAAAGTATACAAGCATTAAGACAGAGGTTCCCAATTTCTAGTACTGAGATAATCAACGAGTTTATCGATTACGTATCATTCTTTTTGCTTGGCTTTCTTGTAAGAGAATTTTGAGGATCAGTTTCGTGGAAATAGTCGAGGTTTATCTTTTGGAAAATATATGAAATCGACTCCCGTCTTCGAGGGTTCGCCCTTAACGTGAAATTGGAAAGTGAATTGCCAGGGCCATCGATTTAGAAGTCTGTTTCATAAAAGAGGATAGGGGATTCGAGATGGTGTCGACTGACATGAGATAGTTTTCCAACACAAAGACTGTTTAGATCAAACTCTGCTATGAGAAGGCTTTATCTAGTGGTTGTGTAGCTAGAAGACGATCAATCTTCGCGATGCAGAAAATTTTCATCAACTCCACTTATCACAAGCTAGCAGAATCCAAAGAAATATGCTGTATTTTAAAAACACCTTTAGACTTCATTTTTTTTCTAGTTTTTCTTTTCAGACGATACTTCTATGCCACCCTTTGCATATAAATTCACCTAAGTACTATGTCATAGAACTTATGGCACAGTTTTATATTTATTTAAATAATTTAATTTCTTTAATGCAGTTAACAAAACCATACAACTTATTTATCTGATAACCATTGAACGAAATAATGGACGATTGCCACAAAAATAATTTATATTTAATATTTAGTGGCATTTTTTATTCAAAATATGTATTAAATTTTTCTTTTTTAATTTCTTCTTGAAAATGTATTTGTACAATTCTGATTTTCCAAGTAAATTCGTGCTTCAAATTTTGTGCAGGTGTTAAATTCAGTCTGGCAGAAATAAATAAGAAAATAGATTAGATTTTATCCGGATAAGAATTTTTCCCGTATCTGGCGAGGAGTACCCCAAGCCATTGAGCCTATAATCTCCTTGATCCGAACATGATCCACCCACTGGCTCACCCAGGGGTGTTGGAGTCGAAATAACTAGCCCTCTCATCGTTATCAGAGTCATAAAGAAACGGGTCCGGACTCTAGTTGGCGTAAAGAAGTTTCCTCGTGGATCATTCTTACCGCTCTAGTGTGATACAATTTCCCCAGAGACCCTTAGGAGATTTCTACAATCACTCATTTTATGTTTTCAATTATCAGTACGTATTTTAACGTGACATATTTCTCGAATATTTTTTATAACTATCAGAATGCTGCAAACAATTGCGAAGCCTCATTTACGATACGATTTCTGTTTCAAAAGTTCTGGTAGACAAATTTTGTGTTAGCATAAATTCAAGGATTTTCTTAGCTTTGAAAAAGAAATATTTTTGAAGTGTATTTTATAAAATTTGATTCGTAAAGTTTTTGGGGTAAATGTTGAGAATGGTGTCTCATAATATAGTGGAAGAATAATTTTACTAAAAAAATTTTATTAATTTTATTTTTTTTATTATTTTTATCTTTATTTTATTGATTGTTACTTTTTTAATTCTTGTGGAAATTGAAGAAGATTTGAACAGTGAATTATGTTCTGTTATAGAATCGTTTACTGTACGCAATAATTTTGTATGAATCCAGCATAATCGTGTATACTGTACATGAGCATTAGATTATCTGAAATGCTACTCGATATCGAAGATCACTTGGGGCTAATATATAGGCCCAGAAATACGTTTGGCCTACTTTAGGGATGCCACTTAGGGAAGCCTAGTTTGGAGATAAACAGAAATCGAGATTTTTCACATTTTCTCAAAGATTCCAATCCTGGAAAATATTATTAAATTCAAAAAATTGCTAAACCCTGCAATTCTTTATACAGGGTGTTCAGCCACCCTTGGGAAAAATTGTAATGGGAGATTCTAGAAGCCAAAATAAGACAAAAATCAAGAATATCAATTTCTTCACTGAGGTTTCGTTAAAAAGTTATTAAAAAATTAGATTAACAAATTTCAAATCATTCTGACAAAAATTATATTTAGTTACAGGGGTTAATTACAGGCATTTTTGGTGAATAGACATACCTCTGAATTCCTATCCACATTCGAGAAAAAAATTCGAGAAGGTGTGAAATTTTTCGACAAAATTAAAAAATTTCAAATCGTTCTGAAAAAATTATTTTCAGTTGCAAAAGTCGATTACAATTATTTTTGGTCATTACACATAACCCCGAAATCCTACTCAGTTTCGAGAAAAAAATTCATTACCGAAAATATCGATTCTGGCCAGAAATATCTGCAGGAATTTTCATGCGAATCTTTAAAACATCATAACTTCTGAACGGATTGGACGATTTTAATGTTTAAAAAGGCAAACGACGCGTATTTTACTATAGAATATGTAGACATTCTAAAAACATCCGAAAAGTTGATCTTTAACCCTGAAAAATGAGAAAAACCCCATAAAAATGGTCCAATTTTCAAACAGCCATAACTCCTGCAATAGTGAATATATTTCAATGAAACTTTTTTCAGAAGTAGAGCTCTTGGGGGCCTACAAAAAAGTATTAGACAACTTTTCTGTAGGGCATCAAACAAAATTACTAAAAAGCGAAAACAAATTTTTAAGAAAAATCAGGGAGCTTTTTCTCGGCGAAAAAAAAAATTTCGAATCGTTCTAAAAAAATTAATTCTAGGTTCTGGGGTCAAATACAACCATTTTTGGTGAATAGACATACCTCTGAAATCCTATCCACTTTCGAGAAAAAAATTCGAGAAGGTGGGCAAATTTTTCGGCGGAAAAAAAAATTTGATATCGTTTTGGAAAAATTATTTTCGGTTACGGGGGTCAATTACAATTATTTTCTGTGAATAGACATACCCCCGAAATCCTGTTCATTTTCGAGAAAAATATTGTGGCCGAACATCCTGTATATTTCAACACTGTACATCGAAAATTTAAATTCTTTTTATTAAAATAACATTTTTCAAGCTTGAAAAGTCGATGTAATATCTTGAGAATTTTGTTATTCTGATGCTATAATATTTTTAATTAACGACTTCATCAGTTCTTGCAGTTCAGACTATAGCCACATTTATACAAAATATAAATCTGTTTAATTTATTCGGAATGTCCAAAACAGGAATTATTAATAAATATACAAGGTTCGAAGTATCACTAATTTCTAGGTCTTCAAACTAGGCAAATCTTAGAAGAACAATCATGTGCATATAAAATATACAATTCAATCTTTTTTCCGACTTACAAAAAACTTTGTTTCGTGGTAATTTTTTTCCACGTAATTTAATTACATTCGACTGTTTACAACGATTTTGTAAATAATATCTAACAACGTTCTATGAATCATTTCAGTTCGTTCTTTTGACAGGAGCTTTACGTGTCAGAGCCCTGTAGTATTTTGTGTATGAACTGGTAATGACAAGTCATCCTATTGTGTATTTGGCAGACGTCTATTGGGAAAATGTTCTGCACACGGACGTTTTGTTTCGGCTCCGTCATATTTGGCAAGCCCCATACATCGGATGAATGTCTGCCATTTCTCGTTTAAAATAACTTGTCATTGTCGCTTCAAACACGAAATACTACAAACTCTGACGGCCGTGCCCTTTTCAAACGAACGAATTGAAATTAATCGTAAAATTCTCTGAAATAACAACCGCTCATTAAGCACCAAAATATTACTCTCTCAAAATTGATATTTATTTTACTGAGAAACTTTTTTTTCTCTTAAGTTACGTGTTTTAAAAAAAAGTAGTTAATTGTTTTGTTAATTGCTTCTACAAACATTTTTTTTGTCGAGCAATCATAATGAAGCAGCTAGTTTTATTAATAAAATTTTGAGCACATTTGGGACTAGAAATATCGAATAAATTACTGTTGATTGTGATATTTTCTTTTATTCGTATTCGAACTTCTCAAGACACACCATGTTTCAACATAGATCAAAGTAAAACTGTCGATCATTTTCATTCGAAAAACATTAGTTTATGAACAAATAAACTCCCAAGCATAAAGATAAAATTAAATTGATTGAACGTTTTGTCTGCTGAACTTTACGAGGTACATTTTCGTGTTAACTTTGATGGAAACAGAATTGCTGGTTATTTTCGCGTGAAAATACTGTTTTATCAGGAATAAGGAAAAACATACAGGTAGAAAAAAGTCCATAAAATCGGTTAATCGGTTTCACAAGTGAATTTTATGAAAGCATCGTAATGTTAACTGTAGTAAAAATAAAACTGCTGATCATTCTGGCGGAAAAAAATATTGTTTTATCGGAAGACAGATAAACACACGAACGTAAAAATAGCATTAAATTTATACGAGAATTTTATTATTGAAATACACAATATCTTTGCTTAGAAATTTACGAGTTTTCTTGTTCGTTTCCAGTTTTTTATAGAAATCGTATCGACCATATATTCCAGCAAATATATCATATCTTACTCTTTTTCTCGTTTTTTGCCTTGAAAAAGTACATCAATTGTTCTTGCCCCATTTGTTTTAATATTGATAGTTTCAAATCCATCTTTTGTAAATATAGTTTGAAGGTCAGCCTTGATTTATTCTTTCTTTATTTGTTTGAAAGGTATTTTTCAGACAACACTATCAATTTTCATATATCTATTACAGTAGCTTCTGAAAAATTATTATTTTAACTTCAACGATTTTTCATAAGAAAAATTAAAGAATTAAATAATAAAGTAAAAGAATGTTTCTTTTAGAAATTTGTTTGTACTTAAAATCAATTTTCATATAACAGTCAATTACAGTAGCTTCTGAAAAATTATTATTTTAACTTCAGCGATTTTTCATAAGAAAAATTAAAGAATTAAATAATAAAATAAAAGAACGTTTCTTTTAGAAATTTATTTGTACTTATGATGTCTGGTAAAAATATTCCATTCACTGTTATTATAAAAAAGTGAGATATAACAACGGTATTCGTTGTTTTGTATCTATAGCGCCAAGCTTCAGTATTTAATATCAGATATCAAAAACGTGCGTGGCGCTAGAATTATTATTAATACGGACGCGTTCGTTTTTCGTTGCAGTGGTTATTGCGTAATGAAAGGAGGAGAATGCAGAACGGCAGAGGAGGCTAGATGAGCAGACTGGTGTGTGTGTAGAATACTAAAAAGTACGGGAACGCAAATCGCCGGAGGGAAAGTGAAAACAAGCACATGTGTGAAAGAATACGCGGTCCAACCTTGGCCCGCCATTTTAGCGGCATGGTCCTTTGGGCCACTGTATTATTCCTTCAAGGAGCTGGTTTCGTCGGTAAGATACACTTCCACAAACTTGTTCGTATCGAGAAAATAATATTAACATAAAATTCGGTTTCACAATTCAATTCGAATTACACAATTTTTCTAGATATTTAGCAATTTAATTTTGCACGTTTAAATATTTATATCGCATGCAAAATGTTGTGCACCGTTTCTATACATGAAAGAAATTGAAAACTAAGGATAAATTAAATTAATTTAAGGACGAATTTGTAACCAGATCTTTTTTCTTCAAATAGATCGTTTTTATAGTTCAATGGCTATAATGAGACTCTCGACTGATAAATAAAATTAAAATGAAATTGTGTAAATTACGTATATAATTATTGTAAGTAAATTATGCATCTTATTATAATAAAGTCGAAATATTTACTAATAAACTAAACTATTTTAGCAAAGCTACAAATTCATCTTTAATCTACTGTAAAAAATAAAGATCAAAATTGATTAAAAATAAACTGAAAGGAAGTTTGGCTTTTATAAAGGCCTCTTGCATTATTATTTAATTGCAATTCTAATTTCAAGCAAATAAACTGTTAATCAATTTTGACGAAAGGGTTGAATTCTTCTAGTTCGTTTCTTCGACACGTAAAAATGAAATTGAAAATGCAAACAGATCGTAAATCTCGTTGTGTAATCGTGGTTTCCATTTGCAATTCGTAGGAAGCCCGCAAGCAATAATTAACTGCTAATTTTACCTCGCGTGACATCTAACTTCGTTCTACGCGATTCCCCGATACGGCATCACGAATTGAATTATCCGCCCCGTGTACGAGTTTTGCAACCTATATTCACGTAATAATAACAGAACAAATTTAACCGGGGCCTGTTGAAAATTCCACACGACAGAACGTCCTATACGTTATAATCGTTCCTAGTTCACGTTCGGGATTCATTTCTCTCGAACACGAAACCATTTACCATTATTTACCACGCGTGGTTCTGAAAATTAATGCTAATACAATCTTACAATTAGCACTAAATTTACGAACACTTCATGTATAAAATAAACAATTTACAGTTCAGTTTTATCGCACACCAGTTGTATAATCAATAGGAATTGTTGAAGCTTATTTAGGTGTATAGTGTCAAAGTAAATATCAAAATAAATATAGAAGATAGCAAAAATTATAGTAGGTGATATGATCATTAGGTAGAGGATGAAATGCCTTTTAAAATGAGCGTTCGTACAAGTCGATAGCATAATTAGTTTCGGAGATATGACGATTTTAGTTTCAAGTCGAGCGTCAAAGTAAATGTCAAAATAAACATAGAAGATAGCATAAATTATAATATTTGTTACGTTTATAAAATAGAGGATGAAATGCCCTTTAAAATGAGCGTTCGAACAAGTCGATAGTGTAATTAGTTTCGGAGATATGACGATTTTAGTTTCAAGTCGATGCGGTAGCTAGTTACGGAGATAGAAGGGTTCGAAGAGTTTGTTTACGTTTCATTGTTGACATCGGCGCGAGGCCAATGACCGTACGTGCTCGTAAAAAAATTACCCCTTTACATAAATTACGATATCTCCGAAACGGAAAGTCGGATCGACGAAAACCAAAAACCATTTTAAAGAGGAAGGTTTACTGCTGCTAACAGTGCCTCAATTATAGATAAAACACTAGTAGTTTTGGGACTGCACGTATTCAAAGTTTAACTATTTTTAATACGCGTTGTTAGACTGTTCTAAGACACTGGAAACTAAAGATTCTCTCTTTTCATCTTTGCTGTATATTTCCTATTTACATCAGAAGCTAACCAGAGTTTAATACCAAATTTTGTCCGGTTTTTTACAATGAATATAAATCGTTCAACCTGTCATTTGACCGGTTGTGATTGCTTTAATGTTAAGAGGAATATTAATCAATCCTTTTTTTTTTATATTTCTTGTAAATGTTAAAAATAATGAAAACTATTAATTGTAATACAGTCTTAAGAGGAATATTTATCGATCTCCATTTTCTATATATCTTGTAAATGTTAAAAGTAACGAGAACTATGTTCAGAGTTGCATTTTATCACAAAACTGTACAAAAATATGTGTCGATATTATTCTTTTTCCTTTTGTTTAATTTTTAATTGTCACTTTACGCATCAGTTCGCGTTTGGTTTCTTTTCCAGGATCGGTGACGGGTATTCCTGGCGTTCCAGAAAATATCACAGTGATGTTTCTGAACCCGACGTCTGTCCGCGTATCTTGGAGCACCAGTCAAGTCGAACAAGTCGAGAAATACGACGTCACGTACAAACCAACCGATGCCAGGTGCGTTTCCCCGATTTCAATGTCTTTTAATCTATTTTCCAATCGTTCACTTTGCAAACAAACACAAAGGGTACAGACGTGGCTAGATTGACACGATCGTTGGTGAGATTTTAAGTTCGTAAATCCATATGTAGACCGAATTTCACAAAAATTCTCAAAATATTTAATATGTTGCATCAAAGAATAATTTCAATAAGATTTTTAAAAAAATTCCGAATATTTATGCAAATGCATATTTTTATAAAATGAGAATAGAGAAATAAAACACTTAGATATATAATATATTTATCATGTGATTAGAAGGTTGCAAAAGTGTGATGTTTACTTTGCATATTTACTTGGTTAAATGAATTTAATTGATCGTTAAACTTTGGTATGATAACAATAATATTATAGTTAATATCGATTAAAGACCACACCAAACCATGTTTTCGTAATAGAACCTCGAATTGCTAATTAAGCAACAGATGTAATGGTTGGTGTTTCAGATGGTATTCAGATAGTTTATATAATTAATAGACGAAAATATCTGTGACCATTGAACAGTATTTTCCAGTCGAAACAAGATTTTTTAAATCAAAAGCTCACACGTACATCACTCAAACTTTTTATTAGACATTTCCATAATTACCTAAATAATCACGTTTCTAATGGGAATTTTCCTTAAAGACCAAAGGACAATGAATTTAAATAACAGTTAAATTGTTACAATGCGTATTTATGAGATGCTAAAATATTTCATCAAAGAAATTTTGCCTATACGATCCCTTCAATTTGGCCATGTCTGTAACTATTATACTATTTACTTTTTATGCACTGTGAAATTACACAAAAACACATTCTACTGCTTAAAATACTACCACATGATTCCACAATGGTAAGTACACGTTAAAATTACTTTTTTCATTGCTTAAGCGTGAAACGTTGCCTGTGAAAAGTGTTTCAACCACACATTTCCATCACAAAAATATCGTGAAGTTTCCTACCAAAAAGGGCCTGGCGGGATATGCATATGAAAAATGCCCCCAAACGGATTAGTTTGATTTTTGGCTAGATATTACTTCTAGATATGTATATAACTTTCCTTAATTTTGAACCCGAAATATGCATTAATTTTTAAGTTATTTAACGATAAAGAATTTTACAAAATATTTTTTAATTGAAAAACTATCTGTTCAAAAATTCTGAAAAAAATATATGTTGTACATACATCTGCCGCCCATCTAAAAAAAAATTGTTTTCTTTAATTTGTTTATTGCAAATGTTATAAAAAAGGTAATATTTATTTTAATCATTTTTTTAAGTGCTTTATCGTTTTGGTACCACAAACATATTTTGTACATATATGTATTAGACATTTCTGTGTAAGATATATTTTTTTCAAGTCGATTGTTGTAGTAGAAGGTATTTAAATATACTAAAAATGGGTGTAGCACGCGGAGCGCAAGGAGGCTGCCATAGTCGCGCGGCGCGGCGTAACTCAAACTCGATCGCTACACTAGCAATTAATGAAGATATTAAGCAGAATAATAATTGTACGAATGGTAGTAAGAAGCAGTAGCACACGTAGTAAAATTAATTGTTGCAAGCAATAATTTTATTATTTATTAGTACAAAATACTTAATCGTCAATATCTCTATTTTCATTTATTATTGGATGTATTTCATTTTTAGTAAATAAATTCGTCAAAATTTCAGCTGGTTTGAGAATTTTTGATAAATATCTGCCATGAGCTAAATAATAAATTAATGCAGCTACATGCGAACAGCAACCAACTGTTCTTTTGCCACTTGCACATTCGCAAGCATATCGTGTCACTCCTGAATGTCCTATAGTATTTGGCAAATATTCTATATAACAGCGATATGTTTTTTTGTTTATATGTCGAGATTTTACAGATAATTTTAAAATATTACTTCTTTCTTTGACATATTTTGCAGTAATTGAACCATCCGCGTTCAATATTTCTGCCAAATACGAGATAGCTTGGGAGAATTGGTATGAGCCTGTGAATAAAATATGTAAATCATTTTCCGTCATTTCCGGAAAATCGAAAATATCTGAAGTAGATATATCGCTAAATATTAATTTTTTTCTGCTCCATCCGTGCTTTTCTATTTCTTCCGACAATGAGTTTTCTTGATTCTTTTTTTCTTTCATTTGGGCAATAATATCCAATCGTCCCGCATCGGAGTTTAAACGTTTGCCATAACGATTTTGTAAAAATGATGCAATTTTACAATAAATCCCAATTTTAGGTAACATTTTATTGTCTAATTTTCTGTCCAGAAGGCGATATTTTTGTTTAAGTATTCCATGGATGGCTTCAACCACCCATCGTAGTTTTGTTACAAATCGTGAATCATTTGATTCAATAGTTGACAACTGAGGTCGTTTCCCTTTTAAAGCTGGCAATAGTACACCATAACCTTGTTCAGTTAACATATTTTTAACGTCTCTGAAACCACGGTCGAGTATAAAAATATCCCCCTTTTTCATTAAATTACATAATCCATTTGATTCGGTCATTATTTCTTTCATTATTGACGCATCATTTTGAGTAGCGTAATATGGGCCTAGAATGTCTACAATATAACCATCTGTTGTACATATGGTAAATGGTTTACACAGAGGCACTTTTTTTTGTCCAGAAAATGACTTTCGTTGATACTCGTTATTAGAACTTTTTTGGTGTCGTATGTAAGTGCCATCACAAATTAATAGTAATTTGTTATCAATGTCGTACAACGATTTAGCTACATTACTAGTGTGATTATTAATTAGATATTCCCTAGTCGCAGATTTTAAACCAAACTTTAAGGGAAGAACATCTTTATCAAACGCATTCATGACTGCATTTGAATAATCTGAAACTAATTGTTTATGTTCTAACTGAAAAATAGAAGCAATTGTTTCATTTGCGTTACCACTTCGTAATTTAAATAAAAAAATAATAATAGCCTGTGTAACATTTCGAGATGCTGAATTCTTCATTGATATTAACATTGTCTTCAATTCTATAATATTCTCCCACGTTAAGCCAGTAAATATGAATAATTGTTCTTCTGGCATATTAAAATCACCAATTTTGTCAAACAATGTTGAATCACAAGTAATTGCTAAACTATTTAATAATTGTTGTAATTCTACAGGCTCAATGGAACTAAAATGTGAATAAATGGATATATGTTTCAATTCGTCATTATACAATTTATTTTTAATTAAATGTTTTCGACAACATCGATTCCCTTTAGGAACATAGATTTTTATCTTAATATATATTTGTAATCTTGCTTCAAACGGAATAACATGAATATTTTTTGTATCATTACAAATAAAACAATATTTGTGTGTTGCAACAGTTCTTTTTATGGGGACTTCAATCTTTATAACGTCATCTTTAGCTGATTCCATAAGTGAAATATTAAAATCTGGATCATCAAATGAAGATGAGACTGAGCTTTCCACAATCACATCATTTTCATTATTATTATCACAAGCACTGTCGGTTTTCTTATTTTTATATGCTTTTATTCGGCAATTGTTGCATAAAACATCATGTAACACAATTTGAGATTTTAGATATTGCGTCAAGAATTCCGCCATTTTTTGGGATGTCACGATCGTTTTGCGCGGCGATACTTTGATGACATATTTATTGCAGGAAGCACATTTCTCAGCGTTTGACATATTTCTAACAAGATATAACAAGATTATATATAACTAATAAAAATAAACGTACAGCTCAATAGCATCTACTACGTATCAAATAGCTTTCACTTTTGTTTGGGCAAACAAATGCAAGAATGGAAGGCTGTTGTCTATTGTTTAATGTACGATATCCGCAGCCAGTGTTGGCGTAATGCGCATACGATCATAGCGCAACTTGAGATTCATAACATTGCATATTATTATTCTGCTTAATATCATAATTAATTGCTATGTAGCGATCGAGTCTGAGTTACGCCGCGCCGCGCGACTATGCAGCCTCCTTGCGCTCCGCGTGCTACACCCATTTTTAGTATATTTGAATACATTCTACTACAACAATCGACTTGAAAAAAATATATGTTACACAGAAATGTCTAATACATATATGTACAAAATATGTTTGTGGTACCAAAACGATAAAGCACTTAAAAAAATGATTAAAATAAATATTACCTTTTTTATAACATTTGCAATAAACAAATTAAAGAAAACAATTTTTTTTTAGATGGGCGGCAGATGTATGTACAACATATATTTTTTTCAGAATTTTTGGACAGGTAGTTTTTCAATTAAAAAATATTTTGTAAAATTCTTTATCGTTAAATAACTTAAAAATTAATGCATATTTCGGGTTCAAAATTAAGGAAAGTTATATACATATCTAGAAGTAATATCTAGCTAAAAATCAAACTAATCTGTTTGGGGGCATTTTTCATATGCATATCCCGCCAGGCCCTTTCTCGTATCACGTATCATTTTTGTTTTATAATCATATGGATGTACTCTTCAACGATTTCGCTTTGTTTATACAAAAACAAAATTACACGAGACACAGGAACACTGATAATGATTCAAGTAAAAACGATTGTTTCGATTTATTTGTTAACTAGTATCAGTCTATCGGTGTCAACTGTTAAATAAAGCTCGATATTAACTCATACTTTCACTTCTATTGCGGCACAGGAAACACAACGACAGGTACATAGCACTTTCTAAGTATTTTCTTTTTTTTAAAAATTGTGCACCTTTGCAGACACCATGTTGTTTCGAGATTGTGGCAAATGTTGTAGTTACAAAATAATAAATATCCTGCACACCATAGTCTAGCAAAGAGTCATCGATAAGTACTTAGTGAAACGAATAATAATTTACACATGTAGAATGATAAATATTGAGTCCTCGATCCCTCAAATAGGCACAGGATTTTCAGTAATTTGCACATTTCACTTCCATTCGTCGGGTCTCTGTGTAAACTGTTGGAACTTTTAAATGAAAAAATAACTAATATTTATTCAGTGATTTTTTTACATTTTTGTATCGATGAAATTACTCCATAAATGTAACGATATTTATGTAAGTACAGAGAATATTAGGAAAATTATTTAACTGGTATTTTAAAATAAGCAGCTATCGTGCTTTAGAAATCATTTTATTACCTGCAAAACATCATAAATTGAGATTTGATCTACTATAATAAAAAAAAGTCTTCTTCAAACGTATATAATATATTGCAATAACATTTCTAAGACACAATTTATGGATTATGTAATGTTCAGTTAAATAAAAAAATCTCGTTAGAATTTCTTGGATTTTTAAATGCGAATAGGAGTAATATAATGAGTTAAATAGTATTTTAGAAACTTTAAAACATGGAGAAGACACAATTTATGAATAATGTTCAGTAAAATAAAAAATCTCATGAGAATTTGTTAGATTTTTAAACATAAATAGGAGTAACATAACGAGTTGAATAATATTTTAGAAATTTTAAAATATTAGAAGCCACAGTTCGAAATTTTAGAAATCACAATTTATGGATTATGTAATGTACAGTAAAATAAAAAATCTCATAAGAATTTGTTAGATTTTTAAACATAAATAGGAGTAACATAACGAGTTGAATAATATTTTAGAAATTTTAAAATATTAGAAGCCACAGTTCGAAATTTTAGAAATCACAATTTATGGATTATGTAATGTACAGTAAAATAAAAAATCTCATGAGAATTTCTTGGACTTTTAAACATAAATAGGAGTTACTCAAGTAGAATATCAATATTAAACACACCTTCTCTCCAATAATATTTCACAGAATATTAAAAAATTACTTTCATCTCTGTTTTTTAAGTTGCATTTTCTTTGTTGGATTTCCGATTTTAAAATTAAATTTCTTTTATTATTCAGTAATTTTTTCACGAATATAGCCATTAACAACCAATAACCAATGACCATTTAAAAATGATTTATGTTTTATTTAATGCATCAATATTGCATTTCCGTGTCTGGCGGTGCTCGGTAAATAGGCGTGTAGTATTTTCAGTTATCCTTTTCGTACTCGTTCGTATCGGGCGGAACCGGAAGAATAAATCCGTAAACTTTTTTCTGGCGAAATTATACTTTGGACGCAGAATATCGTCTTAGCACGTAACGCGGGTTGAATGAAATATGACTTGCACGAAACGAACGTACGAAGTATACGTCTCGTACCGCAGTGAACGTGTTAAATTTTCATATACCGTGGTACTGCGACACAAAGATACAAACCTGGATCATGCTAACACTAGTGTGCCACTTGCTGCAGCTTTCCTCCATTCACCACGTTAGCTAGATTCTCCTAAGAAAATAATTCTCATGCTTTGGCTTTTTATCAGTCAAACGTTCGTGTAAATATGTCGCTAATATCTTTTCCTTCGTGTCGAATACACTGTCACAATTTTTAATTGTCGACTCACGGAACACTAAAAACCCTCTTATAATCGACATAAAGATTGTAGAATAATAATTATTTTCTCGTCCTAAAGTATTTTTAAACGATTATAATCAGAATAATAAACAGATTATAAACAGAATAAGTGTAGAATGTTATCCATTTTGGTCTACTTTTTTTTTTACAACGATTCGTTTTACCAAATTTGAACCAAAAGTATCACTGGGGAAGCAGTGGCAATGGCTGGTGGAATTAATTATTAGAAACAATTTAAACAGAATTTCGATCATAAACAATGATTATTGTGTAACCAAAATATTTAGAAATCGATATCTTTTAGTCATATTGTTTTCTGAAAAATTTGCTTCTTAATCCTCATGATTATTATCCTCGACTTGAATGACAAACAATTTTTTTTTCAATCTTCATGGAAATTTTTATTTTTGGGTACCGTAGAAAGTATATGAGTTAATTTGCCAATATCCACATGTTTTGCAACGTGAAAATTTCACAACCAGGTCACCAATTTGCCCAGTGCCATATCTAATTAGATAAGCTGAATCCTACAGCGTTGAAAATGCTTTTTTTCTACTAATTGCTGACTGTGTTCGTGCGGCTTGTTAATACGTACTGCGCTCGCTGAGGATTAAGAAGCATTATGTATGTACCTATTAAAAAGTTACTGTCCGTTACTTTCAAGATTTTTTTAAATTTTCCACTTCGTGTAGCGCTTTAATCTAACGATTAGATTATTGAGATTGCTGAGCTTGGACACAGACGTTTCAAATTTTTTATAAAAGCATCTATAAATATTGAAAACAGCTTTAATAACGAAATTAGCACCAATAATCTTTAATTTTTAACAGTATGTTCTTAAGAATCAATACACTTCTCTCTCACACAAAATGGAATTCTTATAAAAATAAATAATATTAAATTTTCTTATCTGAATATTGAAAACTATTGGAATTCTTAAAAGAATAAATAAAATCAAATTTCCCTATCTAAATATTCAAAAGTATTGCAATTTCATAACTGAACTTGGACACAGACGTTTCAAATTTTTTATAAAAGCATCTATAAATATTAAAAACAGCTTTAATAACGAAATTAGCATCAATAATTTTAAATTTTTAACAGTATGTTCTTAAGGATCAATACGCTTCTCTCTCACACAAAATGGAATTCTTATAAAAATAAATAATATTACATTTTCTTATCTGAATATTGAAAACTATTGGAATTCTTAAAAGAATAAATAAAATAAAATTTCCGTATCTAAATATTCAAAAGTATTGGAATTTCATAACTGAACTTGGACACAGACGTTCCGAATTTTTTATAAAAGCATCTATAAATATTGAAAACAGCTTTAATAACGAAATTAGCACCAAAAATTTTAAATTTTTAACAGTATGTTCTTAAGAATCAATACACTTCTCTCTCACACAAAATGGAATTCTTATAAAAATAAATAATATTAGATAGATAGATAGATTTATTCTACTGTTTCCCCTTAGGGTTACACATCCTCCTCGCCTCACACTTACAGCTCTTCCTTAACCTAACTTATCCTACTTATCCTACTTATCCTACTCTTACACTACTCTCACATCATCGCTCCGCCGCTTTCCCCCTCTTTCTCATTCCGCACGCCGCACGCTCTTAGCCTACTCTTACGCTACTCGCTCTCTCTCTCTCCCTCCTCCACTCTCTCCTACTCCTCTACCCCCGCTCGCTCTCCCCGCCCACGACTTCCATTTCCGCCCTTACACTCCATTCCTTCTTTCACTCCTTCCTTCCTTTTACCCCCCTCCTTCATTCCCCCCTTCCCCCCTTGCCGCCTCTTTCTCTCTCCTCCTACCCTCCAGCCTCTTTATCCACCCCTCCAATCCCCCTCCCTCGTCTAAAATCTCCCTTATCTTCTCCCCGATCCCCTTCCCCTCTGCCTCATCCCCTGTACACCTCACCAAAACGTGCTCCCACGTCTGCTCCTCCCCTCCATATACCCTGCATCTCCTCTCTTCCTCATCCCCCCAGTATCCCCCCCCCCCCCTCATCTCGTTCCCCATCCTATACCTAGCTAGCCTCCCATACCTCACCTCTCCCCACCCTGCCCTCAGGTACCACGGCAACTCCCGTACCACCAACTCCCTATACCACCTATTGTACCTCGACTGCACCACTTTTCCCCATCTCTCCTCTTTCTGCCTCCTCCCATCTTCCTCCTCCCATCCCTCCCAGCCCCCTCGCCCACTTGCCCCTCCCCCTCCTTCCCTCCGCCCACCCAACCCTCTACACCCCAACCTGTCTCTCTCCCATGCCGACAATTCCTCTCCCCCTTCCCCTTCCCTTTCCCTTATCTCTTCCAGGCACCACCTAGCCAACTCCCCTCCCTCTCCCCTACTCAGTTTCACCTCATATCTCCCTGCCCTTCCCCCCGCCCACGTCCTCAACTTCTTCCTCTTCGTCTCCTCCCTTACCATATACCCTGGCGTCCTCCAGTCCACCCCCAATGACCACCTTATAAACCTCTCCTGCATCCTCGCCATCTCTTCCCTCTCTCTCCACCCCCAAATCTCTGCCCCATATCCCGCCACCGGCCAGACCAACGCGTCGAACAGCCACATCCTCCTTCCCCAGTCCCTCTCAAACTTCCTTTTCCCGATTCCCCACACCTGCCTCATTACCACCCCCGCCTTTCTCACTCTATCCCTAACCTGCGCTTCCTGACCCCCGTTCCTCTTGAACACGTACCCCAGGTACTTAAACTCCTTCACCTCCTCTATCCTTTTCCCCTTCCACCTCCACTCCACCTTCCTTTCCCTTCCTCCCCCCTTCCTAAACCTTACCACCTTCGTTTTCTCCACATTCACCTCCAACCTCTTTCTATCCAGATACCCTTCGAGCCGCCTAATCATACTCCCCATCTCTTCCTCGTCCTTCGCCACCATCACCAGGTCGTCCGCATACGCCAACGTACATACTCTCCTCCCCCCTACCTCCACCCCGCCCCATCTTCCTTTCCTCATCTCCTCCTCCACATCCGCTATCAGGAGATTGAAGAGCGTCGGACTCAGGGGACACCCTTGCCTCAACCCCTTCGCCGTCCAAAAACCCTACCCTACCTCCCCCCCCACCTTCACCCTGCTCTTCGTCTCCCTATAAATTTCCCTCACCCTCTCCCTCAACCCTTCCCTCACCCCTCTCCTCTCCATCGCCTCAAATAAATAATATTAAATTTTCTTATCTGAATATTGAAAACTATTGGAATTCTTAAAAGAATAAATAAAAATCAAATTTCCCTATCTAAATATTCAAAAGTATTGGAATTTCTTAACTGAACTTGGACACAGACGTTTCGAATTTTTTATAAAAGCATCTATAAATATTAAAAACAGCTTTAATAACGAAATTAGCACCAATAATTTTAAATTTTTAACAGTATGTTCTTAAGGATCAATACGCTTCTCTCTCACACAAAATGGAATTCTTATAAAAATAAATAATATTAAATTTTCTTATCTGAATATTGAAAACTAGTGGAATTCTTAAAAGAATAAATAAAATAAAATTTCCGTATCTAAATATTCAAAAGTACTGGAATTTCCTAACACAAATTTATGGCATTCTTGGAATACTAAATAAAATAAAATTTCCTTCTTTAAATATTCAAGAATATTGGGATTTCCTTGCACAAAATGGGATACTTAAAAGAATAAATAAAATAAAATTTCCCTATCTAAATATTCAAAAGTATTGAAATTTCCTAACACAAATTTCCTAACTGAACTTGGACACACGTTTCGAATTTTGTATAAAAGCATCTATAAATATTGAAAACAGCTTTAATAACGAAATTAACACCAATAATTTTTAATTTTTAACAGTATGTTCTTAAGGAACAATACACTTCTCTCTCACACAAATTTATGGAATTCCTATAAAAGTTTAATAATATTAAATTTTCTTATCTGAATATTGAAAACTATTGGAATTTCCTTGCACAAAATGGAATTCTTAAAAGAATAAATAAAATAAAATTTCCCTGTCTAAATATTCAAAAATATTGGAATTTTCTAACACAAATTTATGGAATTCTTAGAATAGTAAATAAAATAAAATTTCCTTCTTTAAATATTCAAGGATATTGGAATTTCCTTGCACAAAATGGGATACTTAAAAAAATAACTAAAATAAAACTTTGCTTTCCACGGAACGTTACGTCTTTTTTACTGGTTTATCGAGAGATCACGAAATACCATTAGTGACGAGAATTAAAATGAAATATAGCGCGAGTTAATTATTCCGAGAGATCGAAATCTGTGATTTCGTGGGGGAACCGAGCACACGATGGAATATTTTCCTCGATCGCCGCCAGAGATAGAACAGCATCTAAAGCCGATAAAACGAGAATATATAACGCACAATATATTCAGAGATTGACATTACTACCGAATCTAGATCACAACATATACAGAACTATGAATATATCCTTAAATGTTTGAGATACTTTCTTAAACTTTGAATACAGATAAGACATCCGAACATTATACCATCCATCTTGTTCTTTGGCTCGAATCTTTCGATTCTTCTCGCTCTTATCTTTCTTCCCAAACGTATCCATCTCTATCAGGAACTATAGTCACACACGGTACAAAGGACACAATGAAGCTACGCTTATGACAAACTGCACAGAAAAGATAACAGCCTGCTCGTGTCACTTGCTACGTAATTAATTACTACAACCTACTACAAGCAATACATTTAATAATTACGTGTTAAATAATATCGATTGTACAGATCTTAACGCGTGGAATAGAATGTAGAGACCAGTAATGGATTTCATAAATCGCGAATCAGATTTTAGATTTCGAGGAATCGGGAATTTTGTTTCTAGAGATAATGGTGATATTATCTTGGAAACTTTGATATTTCTATTTTTATTATTTTATTTTACCTGTAACTTTAATTATCTTTTTAATCACATTTTGTTTTCTAGTTCTAAAGGCTAACTTTAATAAAAATTCGATCTATGTGGGATATGCTTTTCGTGAAACATATAAATTCTTTCGTCGTTGTTTGCAAATTATGAAACTAATTTACATTTAATGTAGAAGTTTTCTAATAATATCTACCCCAATTTCGTCCCGAGACTTCTTAATTTCTCCTTTAGGGTCCTAAATATTCCTGAAACGGTGGCCATTTGCATACATTTTCCCCGTCATTATACCCCGTAAATTCTCTGTGGGGTTTGCGTCAGGCTGGCCATTCCTTTAAATGAATATTTGCAAGCAGGAACCAGTCTCGAAAATATCTCAACGCATAGATAGTTAGAATATATTGGTTTTGTTAATTTTTATCCAAACAAAGCAGAGTTGTAATTATCTAAATGACAACAAAATTTCCCATATTACAAATGGGTGAATAACGAGTAGATAAGTGTAATTAATTAACACACATTATCCTCTAAAAATTTACATAATCTCGTACAAACATTGTACCGATAATACAAAGTTTAAAATGGAGAAATAAGAGGGAATTAAATACAAGTTATTTTCAACGACCATCGCGAACATTGACTAACTTATATATTTGGTTATTCATACTGTATATTCGTCTATATAATTTCAGAAAGCATGGAAAAAGTAAAATTAAAAGATAAAATATATAAATACAAATAAAGAGAATTACATTTTCATCTATAAATATTATTTTGATACTTGAGGATAATCGATAAGAGATCGAAAAATTATCATCAAAAAAGAACATAATAGTGGAAAAAATTCAATGCATTTATATGACTTTCGAATATTCTTCCACAACGAATCAACCCACAGTAGTTAGAAATTCACGCATGTAAAACAATTCTACGATGAAACCTTTTATCGAACAAAGTCTGAATAGCACTTACTCCATTGCATAATAAATTTTAGATGCAATTTAAAACTAGTTTATCCCCTCTTTTGTTTATCGTCGTATCACAAAAATCTATTTTATTATGTATGGACATTCTTGTAATCGTTAATATACATGTACACCTTGTAAATATCGACGTGTAATTAGTTAAATACGAAATATTATCTATGTGTGTTCACACTAATCGTAAAATAAACGTCGTAAGAAAGGTTCAGAATAAATATGTCGATGAAACGGATACAAAAATCGAAACACAATGGCAAGATGGTTAGTTACAGGGTGGTGGCGGAGGTCGCAGGGAATAGCGAAGCTGTAACCTTGAGCGGTCTCAGGGCTGACACGCAATACCAACTCATCGTCACTGCAGTCAGAGCAGGCAAAAAATTTCGAAGTCGACCCATCGTCTTCCGTACACTCGGTAAGTCTTCCATTTCTATTTTTATTTTTTCTATATCCAAGTTTCGACGGCTCTTTAACCGGTCCTCGAAATCATGTTGATCTTGTTAACACTAAACCTACAGACACTTCATGTATACCCGTCTCTTACCATGACTGTATACAAATTTAAATTAATTTTCAATTAAATAAACAATTTATGGTTCAGTTTTATCGTACACTAGTTGTACGATCAGTAGGAATTGCTGAAACTTCTTTGGGTATGTAGCGTCAAAGTAAATGACAAAATAAACATAGAAGATAGCAAAAATTATAGTAGGTGATATGATCATTAAGTAGAGGATGAAATGCCCTTTAAAATGACCGTTCGTACCAGTCGATAGCTCAATTAGTTCCGGAGATATGAGGATTTTAGTTTCAAGTCGACGCGGTGGCTAGTTACGGAGATACGAGTTTGTTTACGTTTCATGGACCAATGAACTCGCGCACGTGACAATAGTAAACAGTGCGTAGTAAATTCTTGGAAATACTACGACTTCCTGGTCACGTGACTGTCTCGACTCACGTGCGAGAGAGAGGTCCCGTCTGACGCGTCAGACGGAGACAGAGATAGTCAAATTAAGAAAAATACCCTTTTACATAAATTACGATATCTCGAAAACCGAAAGTCCGATCGACAAAAACCAAAAGCCATTTCAAAGAGGAAGGTTTACCGCTGCCAACGATGCCTCATTTATAAATAAAACACTAGTAGTTTCGAAACTGCACGCATCTAAACTTTTAGTATTTTTAATACGCGTTAATAGGCTATTATACGCGAGCCGGACAGTGAGACAGTCGAATTAAAAAAATTACCTTTTACATAAACTACGATATCTCGAAAATGGAAAGTCAGATCGACAAAAACCAAAAGCCATTTCAAAGAGGAAGGTTTACCGCTTCTAACAATACCTCAATAATTAATAAAACCTTAGTAGTTTCGGAACTGCACACGTCTAAAGTTTAACTATTTTTAATACACATTAATAGCTTTCTAAGGCAGAGAGCGGAATTTAAAAAATTATCTTTTACATAAATTACGATATCTCGAAAACGGAAAGTCGGATCGACAAAAACCAAAAGCCATTTTGAAGGGGAGGCCTTGCCACTGCTAACAGTAGATCAATTATTAGTAAAACATTAATAGTTTCGGAACTGCATGTATGTAAAGTTTAACTATATTTAATACGCGTTGTTAGACTGTTCTAAGAGACTTAAATTTATGGTGGAAAAGTATTGGAACAGAATTTCATTAAATATTACTATCTTAATGTTGCATGAGAAGAAATGCAACGTAAGGATGATTAAATCGCTTTCCTTAATGTTTTCATAAAGTATCATGATTTAAAGATAGTTTTTAATTTATTAATCAAAAATTCCATTATTCCTACGTTTATGGAGGCGTGTATCCTTTCTTTATTTATAATACACCAAATTGCTTTAAAAGGGTTCTATGCTTTGCGTTAATATTATAAATAAATACTGGGGTAATTTGCAACGATTAATAGAAATTGTTGAGAAGAGAATAATGCGAATACGAGTAATACGGTGCAAAGTAGAGGTTATTATGAACTTTGCAATATGTTAATTAGGAAATGCTGGGTTGAATCTTTCAGAGCCGCCACGAACATCCCCTCAACAGGATGCAGCGGTAACTGGAGGCCCTCTTCCTCCTCCTCCACCTTCTTCACAACAACCTCAACCCTACATACAAGTAAGCTCACAATGCATATGTCAGTAAAACTAAATTAGAGAGAATTAACACACCGTTTAAATTCCCCACATATTTAATTTTCAAACATTTGCAATTCTTTTTTAAATTAATCTTTTCAAACTGAACATAATAATGAAGCAATGCAATCATCCAATGTATTCTAAACTTTTATTCAAAAGCATTTAAGAAGCAATAAGTTTAACAAAATTCAACTAAAAATAATGCCCCAAAATACAGGTTCAAAGGGGTTAAAAATCTCACTTGATTATATTTTTATTTAAATAATATTTATCAATCTAGTCTTCAGAAACCTTCTTTTGTTTGCTAAAGATTAAATCGACAAATATTACATTTTGATACAAACTAATTTAAAATTGCAAAGACTATCTACAAATTAAATTTTGTGAATGTTCATTGACTCGTATTATTAATCATTTTAAAGAAGAAGAATATATATAATCGTTTGTAAATAATACCAGGATAAAATACAATTTATTACATGAACTCTGTTTCTCAAACACAACGTTAAATTTGCAGTTCAATGAGTGTCTTAACATCAAGTTGCTCTAAATTAATAATGTCAGAGAACCACCAAGTGAAACTATTACAACTCCCATTGCAACTCTTATAACTTTTATAGCTCTTGTGAAACTATTGTAACTCCACCATTTTGCAAGTAACTGCTGTTTAAACTTTTCTGCTGACAATCAATATATTCAGGGTGTTCCATAACATGTAAGACACATTGTGGAGGGGGATGATTACATATTTTTGAACCTTCTTTTGTACAATTTTTTTTTATAATTCAGATATTGAGATTTTAATTATTCAAACACAATAATTATTTATTTAAACGAGTACACACTCGACAATGTTTACAAAATATAATCTAACTTAAATGACTTCATTTACACTATAATTTTCCAAGATATCTGACAAAAGAAATTTCAAACAACTAAATGAAAAGAAAAATTTCTTCGACAAAATTACGTCACAGTTAATTAAATCCCCCTACTTCCCGAGTCACCAAATTGTCATATTTTTCATCCCTAAACCCCTCCCTAAGAACTTGACGTAATTTGTGAACGGCCCCATATCTTGCTCTGTACTTTTTAAACGCTTTAGCGCCATATTATTTATTGACCATTGGAACTAGATTGTAGGAGCGCCATTTCGCACCTGCTCGGTTCTCAGATGTAGAGACACATGCATAACAATGCGTCTATCGCAATTTCGGTCAACACGTGCATCTCGACGGCCTCGTCGAGTTACTAAAGACACGCATACGTATCAGCTATTGGTAGCACGTGCCACATATCGTACAAATCGAATATGTATGAACCGTTTCCCCAATTCGACAATGCGTACATTGTACCTACAAACTATGATATCTTGTGTATTACGTGCTGTTATTGCATATCAAGTGAGACGTTTGAGACAGGTCGCTCGAATAATTCGTCTATTTTATTATTTAAAAAAATAAAAAGTTTTTGCTGCGTTAGAATAGTTCAACGTGGTTCACCCTGTATATTTTTCGTAAGAAATCTACGAAGATTTACATCGATTACATTTTTTTGCATTAATTAAATTCTCCAGGAGATTAATTTTGTCGGTAAAAAGGGAAAGTCTCTAAATTTGTTTACTTTAATTCTAGAAGACTACGGGCCCATTCTGACCCACGACAACAGTCATTTGAAAATCGTAAGCTGATAGAAATAAAAAGTACATAGGAATAGGAAACGATTAAATTGAGATTGGGGTCAAAATGGACCCTGTCGAGGCGAATTAATGCTTGCAACGTGTTTGACGAATCCATAGATTTTCCGTGACACGGCCATCTTGTTGGTTACGATATCTGTAAGAAGCCACGAATGATCCATGTGGATAGACTGGGATAACCTATTGCCTTTATACAGCGATTTATACACGGTGTTCCGTAATTCGGTGCACAGCCAGGGCTGCCACGTGCCCTACTTTCGGTAGGACAGTTCTAGAACCGCACGTTTGTGTCGTACGTCCTACTTTCTTTATAAAATGTCCTACTTACATATATCTCGAAGACGAAGCCTCATATCGCAAAATGGCAAAGGACTCTTCGATCTCTCCGCGCAGACGAGATTTGCACGTTTTCCATTTTTTAAACAATACTAATTAATACGTAGCAAACTCGTGCACCATCGAAAATAGTGTGATTCCTTGTGAAAAAATGAATCGAAAATGTGTAACAAAATTTTTCTCTAGGAGCACTCCTTTTCGAGATAATTACATTTTAAAATATTAGGGGCATGTGACAATTTTAGTAAAATTCGGTCGAATGGAGTCTTTATAGATTGTCGCGTTTATGTACAATGAATGAAAGTTCCGTTTTAAAAGTTTATGATCGAAAAATTGTTGTGCAAACTGAAATAATGAAAATATTTTTGTCCACCTTCCCTTAACGAGTCGTGCACACGTTGGATTTCTAGATCACCTCGAAGCGTCGCCGCGACCTAATCAGTCGTCGCTCTAAGTGATCTTGTTTAAGCTGAATTACTGTCTCGACAACATCGGCTTCCATTAAGTCATTAATTGGATCGCGAAGTTGTCACATCCTGAAATACGATACCCTATATGGTTTATCAACGACCAATATATCGTCAAAGGTCAACATTAAATCTTCTCAGATTCTCCAAGGTGCTTAATATTCTTCGTCACGAAAAATATTTAAACCTTATTCCAAAATATGTTGGATTGATCAAACAATAATTTAAAAATTTTCAGTAACGAATTGTAGTAGTGTTTTTTAAATATAGGAAACTTTTTAATAAATCACTAAAATATTAAATTTGTGATACTCTTTAAAATATTTGTTCTGAAATCCGATCAAAATCACGGGGGTATATTTTTCATTTTATTGTATCAATTATCTTCATTTTTTTTGCAAGAAATCTCAGTCAGAATTGTCCTCGACAAATTGTCCTCGTGTAATTGTCTTTATTCACATTAAATAACAAAGCACAATATTAATTATGGATAAAACTTAGTTTCAAAACGTTCCACGATGCCAGCAAAAGTCCATTTCGCGATCAAAGATGTCAGAATCGATTCCCTTCCGTTCCATCAGTTTTCTTTTGTTTGAAAGACTATAATGGCTCGTTCGCTCATCGCAGTCTCTTTGTAAACCATTCTGTCGCGTTATTAGTCCGTCTGGCCGAATAATAATTTCTCCCTCCGTTATGTTTAACCTTCTTAATATGAAATTAATCAACGTCAAATCTTCTCTGCTCAATTAACTTGACAATTTATGTCTCAATAATCACGTCTCTGTCCAATAATGAAACTTTCGTCTACGACCCTAGTAGCACAAAACTATCGGATAAATATTTTTGTCAAATATTGGAAAAATATTTTTTAAGCCACATTTGTTCACATGAGAAAAATATTGGATCTGAATATTGTATGCATGTACAAAAAGTATAAATTGAATGTTTAAAAAATATAAGCTAAATATTCAGGGGATATAAACTAGATATTTAAAAAATATAAAGTAAATATTTAAAAAATGTGAATCCAATATTTGAAAAATATAAATTCAATATTTAAATACCATTCGATAAAATCTTCAAATTTAAGAAAAAGTTATACAAAAAATTAATCTCTATATATGTATGGATTCGTTTGACGTTAATTAATTTTGTGACAATTTTTTGTAACGCGTGAAACATTTCTCGAGAAAAACGTTCCTCTAACTTCGACTCTGAGACGATCGACGTTACTGAGATTGGAACTTGGACGAAGAATCCTAACTTTTGCAATATTCTTCAGAGCCCCTCTGCTCTTTGCAACCCGAATGTTTTATTCGAGCCAGGAACAGGTTCTTCAAGATTTTGTAATTCTAACGTATTCAAAATTAATTTTTTTCCTGGCCATTATTTGTTTTATTATTAATTACTTTCTTCTTTGTCAATTTCTAAGTGTATATAAACACATTAATTTATTTTGAGTTAATGTTTTTATTACTATTGTACTATAGTATTTAAAACCATTTATTCAACGCGTAGAAGTGTACAGAAATTTATTTTCCACTCTGGAATTTTGCAAAATGTTTTCTCAAACTTTGACCATGCACTGTGTTTGACGAAGTTTGATATTAGAAAAAATATCTTTTACTTTTTAACATTTAATTAATCGTTCTCATTTTATGTAATTCTTTTTGTCTGTTTCATTGTGTGAAATGTTTGTTTACTAGATTTGTAACTCCAAGGAACAAATCGAAAATGGAAATATTTTTCATAAATGCTAACAAGCTCGACTAATTTCTTATTCGTTTTGATTTTTCGCTTCACCGGGCATTAACTTGATTTTTTCGTTGTATAGATCGCGGAAATTCGCGTGTTTCTTTTCACTGTGACGAGACCATTCGGATAAAAGCATCGGTACTGTTATTGCACACACGTGCAGCTTGTGATGCGACACGTATTGCAGGTTTTATTGACGTGTAAAACAGAATATAGGACACTTTGCCAAACACATCGATATTGTATCGTTTCATGCGTAACGAATGATAAAGCTACAAAACTATAGGATCCGTATCCGCAAAATTGAAGGTGGTTGTGAAAATTTATAAAACAATATATGTCGATTGAAAAAGTTAGTTGATAGTTAATTTTTAAATGGAATTGGTATACAATTCTTAACAGAATATTTATTACATCGTTTGAAAAACATTTACATGAAATTCTAATAAAAAACGAATTTCAATAGTTGATGAATTACTTTTTTTTACAATTAAATTACTACTATTAATCGTGAATTGCGACTATGTCAGTACTGCGTGTGGCTCAAAACCTTAGTGTCTCATATTTCTATCCTACCTCGTAATTAGACAGTGGATGTTTATGCATTTGTGGGAAATTTTAATTTTCAAAAAACAACAGAATGCACTCGATATGCAAAAATATAAGAAATACTTAAAGCATCATTATTTTAGTTGTCGGGGCAACCCTCTACGAAGCTCTGGTTGCCTTGATTCTATTAATAAAAATATGAATTTGCATGAAGATCCGCAGTCTACTCATAATCCTCTATTAATCGTTGTGAGTGGAGGGTTTTGGTGCATTTGAAAGAATGTGTGAACGATGCTGTTACACTTAGAGTATAGATATAGATATACATGAATGACTGGGTAAATTGCAGGTCCGTGGCGTAGAAGTGGGTATAGTGGTGTTGGTGTTGATCTTTTGGGCGGGCGCGATAGCGCTGTTCTTCAATCGTTGGGGCAAGATTCGCATGTTGCTGCCATATCAGCCTGACTACAAGGAACAATTAAAGGTTCCTGGCACTGGGGTATGCGCAGCGGCGAACGTCCCATACACGCAACACCCGACTCAACACACATGCTCTCAGGTAATACATACTTACACTGCAATCCTTGTTCCATTAATCTCTCACAGGCGAATCAAGCGAACGCCTAATCTTGCAGCGGGTCACGTTACAAGTATTTGTCTATTGTTCACGTGTACTAGTTGTCGCAAAAGAAACAAGAAACATTATCGTTATTAAATAATGCGGTACAGTGCTTGCTAGGGAAATTTGATCGACGTTGATTCGATAATTGCAACAAAACAAAGTATTCTGAAATCGGCGTAAACATTTTTAATTTGGTGTTGTATTATTAGTATCTTTTTTCATGATACATACCCTGGGAAAAATTTTAATGATAGATTCTAGAGTCCAAAATGAGACGAAAATCAAGAATACTAATTTGTTGATGGAGGCTTTGTTAAAAAGTTATTAACGTTTAAAGTTCCGCAAGTACTGAATTTTTTTCTAGAAAATGGGTCGGATTTCGGGAATAGATCTATTCACCAAAAATTATTGTAATTGACCCCTGCAACCGAAAATAATTTTTTTAGAACGATTTGAAAATTTTTTAATTTCGTCGAAAAATTTCATACCTTCTTGAATTTTTTTCTCGAAAGTGAGTAGGAATTCAGGGGTAGGCATAATGATAAAAAATGATTGTAATTGACCCTCCCAACCGAAAATAATTTTTCTAGAACGATTTCATATTTTTTTTTGTCGATTTTTCTTAAAAATTCGTCTTTCATTTTTAATAAATTTGGTTGACGCCCTACAGAAAATTTGTCTAATACTTTTTTGTAGGTACCTATGAGGTCTACTTCAGAAAAAAGTATCATTGAAATATATTCACTTTTGCAAGAGTTATGACTGTTTGAAAATTGAACCATTTTTATGGGTTTTTTCTCATTTTGCGATGTCAAGGAATAACTCTTCGAATGTTTTTGGAATGTCCTCATATTCTTCACTAAAATACGCGTTGTTTGCCGTTTGAAACATTAAAATCGTCCAATCCGTTCAGGAGTTATGACATTTTAAAGATTCGCATGAAATTTTCGAGTGACATTTCTGGCCTGAAATTATATTTATGGTAAGGAATTTTTTTCTCGAAACTAAGTAGGATTTCGGGGTTATGTATAATGACCAAAAATAATTGTAATCGACTCTTGCAACTGAAAATAATTTTTTCAGAACGATTTGAAATTTTTTAATTTTGTCGAAAAATTTCACACCTTCTCGAATTTTTTTCTCGAAAGTGGGTAGGAATTCAAGGATATGTGTAATGACCAAAAATAATTGTAATTGACCCTCATAGTTGAAAATAATTTTTTCAAAGCGATTTGAAATTTTTTTTTCGCCGATAAATTTCAGTACCTACTGGAATTTTTTTCTCGAAAGTGGGTAGGATTTCAAAGATATGTGTATTCACCAAAAATGATTGTAATTGAGTCCCGCAACCAAAAATAATTTTTTCAAAATGATTTGAAATTTTTTAATTTAATTTTTTAATAACTTTTTAATGAAGCCTCAATCAACAAATTGGTATTCTTGGTTTTCGTCTCATTTTGGCCTCTAGAATCTCCCATTAAAATTTTTCCCAGGGGTGGTGGAACACCCTGTATAAATTTATTATTTATTTAAATTTAAGAACTAATCAGAACTTTCTGGTAGACCTAATATAATGTTTTTGATTATAGAATTTTAAAAATATAAGTTTGAAAATTCACAAAAAGATGACAGAAAAAAAGGCAATTTAATTTGTTATTTAACTTTTACAATACCAAACTTAACCATCAAAATCAGGTCTTCTTGTAATATTAGTCGTCTAGGAAATATTTAGTAATTTATGACGAAGTGATTAAAATAATTATAATTCGAAAATAAAAAAACAAAAGTTACATTACTATTGAATACAATAAATAGACATAAAAAACAAGTTCGGTTATAAAAGTCTGTAAATTCTCTATGATTTACAAAATTTCATGCTACGATAAATCATTTTATACATATTTATTTAAAATAGTTTACCAGGCCAAGTAAAATAAAATCATATGAAAATATATATACATATTTACTCAAAAATATATTAATGTATTAGCTTTTGCCAGGTAGAAATAAATATATTATCCAAAATATTTAAATAAGAGCTCGGAGTCATATTTTTACACAATATTATTGCATCGTCTGGTTTGAATTTTATTTGTTACCACACAAGTACATTCATTTATATCCGCTAGATTAGAAACTTTTGAACATTTTCAATATTACTGTCTCTACAACTAAAGTCTGATTAAATAAAAATGATAATGTTTCTTATTTCTTCTATTAGCAATAGTCCAATATACTCATAACAAAATTTGAAGCAAGATTAGGTAAACATTCGTATTGGAAATAAATTCGAATTCGTTCAATTTTTTCTAAACGTCTACTTTTACAAGAAAAAATTGATCCTTTTGTAATTTATCGAAAGTGGTGTCACTTATTTACGTAGGAGTTTGAAATCGATACAATAATACATTTGCAATTCGAATTAATTCTTAATTTATTTTAATTTATCTTCTACTTGCAATAACTATTGCTGAAATGAATTGCAATAGTTCGAACTACATCGATACTGATTCTTTTTTTTTGGTTTCTCGTATATTTAAATTTAATTTCAATACTAACGTTAAATCCTCGTGTGATAACACCTTGCAATTGAACGGACGAATGTTAATAAATACCTCGTTTTATTTTTTACAGATACAGTGTATGCTATTGATCGTGACAAATATTTTTTTAATTGAAGTGCATACGAGGTATAAAATCATAAACACACTACCTACCGTTGAATTGTTAACTAAATTTTAAACAAATCACAGTTTTATGAAAGGAATTTCTAAACATTTACCATCAGGATCCTCATCAATTATTAAAAATTCTCTTACACACTGTTATGAATTTATATCTCACAATCGAAACGCACCACATTGTGCATCCAATATAAAATAATTTATGGAATAATTTCTCAAACTCGTAGTACAACTAAATATTTCAAACTAATACATTGAAATATTTAATAGGTACCAGCAATTGTTTCATCGTTTCAAACTTATAGCTGGACAACTTCACCATAACGATTCCCCCATAAATTGCTTCTTTAAAACCACCTTTCAAACTTTAGCGATTAATTTCTCATAGCAAACTCGTGATAGAACCCACGTAAAAGACTATACTTTAGAAGAATACCTTCGAGTATTTAATAGCGTGCAACAATTTTGTTTATCGCATCAAACTCAGAATTGAACTTCTAAAAATCACATTTTAAAGTTTATCCATTAATTTCTCGTAGGAAACTCGTGATACGAATACGTAAACATTTCAGGCTAATACATTGGAATATTTAACAGTGTACAAGAAAATTTTCCATCGCGTCAAACTTATAGTCAGACAACTAAATGACAATGTTCCCACTAATCGTTTTTTAAAATCACGTAAAATGAGAATTCGTTTTTCTATTATTTACTTTCTAGAAACCAATTTTTTTTTCCTTCTTGCGTCTTTAATTTTTGTATGTCGGTGTTACGTTTAGTATAATACAACTATTTATTAAAAACTACCCGAACGCGAGATCGAAACGTTTAATAAACAAAATCAAACGAACGCTTCTATCATATTTCGGATTCAAATTGGATTCTCATCCCACGCACAATCATCTATGAAATTTTGAATTTATTTCTCCATAAAATTCTGCCATAACAAAAGGACATTTCTATTTGTTTTAAATGAAATTGACTCTCTGTTCGTCATTCGTATCAAATATCTATTGAACTATTGAATATTTCTATTTGTCACGCTATAATTTGAGAAATGTCGAGAATATCCCTAGATAAGGAAAACTGGCGTGACAAACAACGTGTTAATAGTTGTATTTCACATTTAGATGCATCGTTCGAATGCAATTGGAAGTTTCACAGGCCTCTGAAAGCTTGTCGTCAAACAAATATGAAACGTATCGACGATTCCTTATCCACACACGAATCTGTCGAACGTTAATTCTAAATCATTCGTGTGTCAGATATAGCAAACATAGTTTGGACGTGTGAACGATATTAATTTAATGAAACGCCAAGAGGCATAATATTTTACAGGAATATATCCAACTTTAACATTTATTGCTTGTACAATGATGAGTCTTAATATTCGTTATTTGTATGGTCTGGGATCGATAAAATAATTATTTAATTAAACGAATAAATGTTACATACCCACTGTTCGTCAATTAGCGACATTTATAAAAAAATATTATTCAGCTTGACACTAAATTTAACAAAAGTTGCAGTTAAGAGTATTTAATTAATATTTTTACCGTGAAATAGACGATGTTAAATTAATTACAACAGTTTCAATGTAGCATTTATTATGGCTGTGCACAATAGTATATTTTTCGCAATAAAAACTCGAAATCTGCAAGTTTCTCACTTTTTACGAGATTTTTCGGTAAACGAAAGTTTATATAGTTTAGACCATGAGTTAGTTCATTAGCTTTTTCTTGGGTTGCTTCCATTTAATATTAATAAACTCTGAAAATTTTATTTAAAATATATTCCATTTGCTGGAATGAAATTTAAATTATTTAGCGTTTTCATCCGCAGTGTTGATGCTGCCTAATATACTCTAAGCTCGTTGCTACTTTAAAACGCCCCCGTGAAGATTCTAGCTACTCCCAAAGGGGATTGCCCGCGTTGGGTAATATTAATATTTTAGGCGAAAGAGCGTAAGTAACATAAATCAAATTGTATTAGGAAAGTATATATCCTCCAAAAACAATATTAACTGATGAATTTCGTAACCGTCGTCGAAAGTTTCCCTCGGGGGTAGGAAAAGTTTTTTTATTAAATGTAAAAGTTACGAAAAAGGCTGATAAACAGATAAGAAAAATTAGGAAACGATTCTTACAAAAGTGGTCGAACCGATCACTTTGATAATTAATGTTTACACTGCACTTAATTTGCATTAAACGATTCACTCAATGATTACTCCATTAACGTTTAATTTTTTATGTG